GGTATATGATACAGGTCGTATCTCAAATTGGTGGTGAATAGATAGATTATTTAATAAATGCGGTTGAGACAATTGAGCGATCATCTTGGGACAAAAATACTATATGACATTTGGATCTATACTGTATAATGGGATGGATTTGAAACAGATTAAAGATTTTAAAACAAAACCTAAAAATATTAGAAATTCTCACAACTTGGAGTGGACAAAAGAGTTTCCAATTTAACCCCAAATCTAGGAATCATAAGAGATTGACAAAGTTAGACACACATTTTTGCAGAATAAAAAATCCACAAGCAAGAAGAACTGTGAGTGTGGGAAGGGGCAGGAATAGATTTCTAATTCTTGGTACGGACAGAGGAATCATTTCCCTAGGATGGGAGAATTCCTAGAAACTGAATGGAGAAAAACTTGACAATGGGAAATTTGGCAAAAGATACGAAAGCCCAGGTCATATAAAAAGAGACATGAAAGTGGTTCTTAAAGCATTTAAAAAAAAAAAAAAGCCTCAGCCTCAAAGACCACGTTAGGACATTATTTGCATCAACAAGATGGGCAAAAATTCAAAAATTATGAAATATACTACGTTGGTAAGAATGTGGAGTCACACTGATTGGTGGAATAGTAAATAGGACATACTGATTTAGGAAAATTTGGCAATTTCTATCAGTTTCGTTATGGCATTGTGATAATTTCATTTAGTTGATATTTGTCATAATTTCTGGCACAAGATATTTTTATCGCGTTCCCTTTTATTTTCTCTATTTTTGGTCGAGTAAAAAGAACTACTTTTATAAAGTATTGAATGTCTTATCTCTGAGAATATAAATTACTAAATCTTGTCCAAACACCATATACATTATGGGCAGATTTTTTTATCTGATGAGATTTCTGATTATATAGAACGAAAACTGCTTTAACAAGATTGTAAGTAAGACGATTTTTGTATCAAAGCAAGGCTCTGATTTAAATTTTCTGGCATAGATTCCATGTTCTGCTTTTGCTGACCTGTTTCTCCCTTATGACTCACCAAACTAAAAAAACAATATATTTTTCTTGAATGTGCATATTTTTAGTAAAAGAACAGAATGTTTCCTTCTGTGTCATTCATTAATAATGTGAAGTGTAGGGAGGAGTGTGAGTGTGTGTGTAACTTTACTAGAATCCCTCTAATTTGAGGGCCTTGTAAGCTTCTATAAAGGAGAGAGGAGGAAACAGGCAAAAGACAGGGAAAGGACAGTAATTTTATGATATTTAAGGATATGACAGTGAATGGATACTTTGTTCATTTAAAACAAAGCTTACTGCTTAGATGGGTATGAGCAAACCACTTCTATTACTGTGAAGAAGTTTAATCAATGGCCGGGCACGGTGGCTCACACATGTAATCCTAGCACTCTGGGAGGCCAAGGTGGATGGATTGCTTGAGTGCACGCGTTGGAGACCAGCCTGAGCAAGAGCAAGACCCCATCTCTACTAAAAATAGAAAAACCGAGGCAAGAGACTCACTTGATCCCAGGAGTTGGAGGTTGCTGTGAGCTATGATGCCTCCGCACTCTACCCAAGGCAACAGCTTGTGACTGTCTCCAAAAAAAAAAAAAAAAGTTTAATCCATAGTGTCATCTTCATAAAGATAAAGGATAAGCATATTACTACTGCTATACACTTATCCAAGTTTTTTGGAGAATGAAGTTTTTCACCTATATTAATTTTCCAACATACTGTAGTAGAAAAGTCTTGGGTTTAGAGCCAGGAAGAACAGGTTTCAAATTCTGCTTTACAACTAGTTGGTGATAGTGGACAGTCACTTGGTTTTCCTATAACTCTGTACTGTGGGGCCCTTGGGGGAAACCCTCTAACATGCTGTCCAGCTGTGTTAGGGTTTCATGTTGACTGTTAGGCTTCCTTGGCTCTGTGTGCATACCGCTGTCCAGAGCTCTTCCCACCCTCTAATCTGGGGGTGCACTCTGCTTTTTAATCTCATCTCTAGCACGTAACACACTGCCAGGCATGTGTACTAAGATGAACGGAATAATTTAAGCACTGAAATTTCATTTTAATACTTTAAAAGAAATATTTTTAAATGCCTTGTTAAGTATAAGTCTGTATGGCATCTGTTGTGGAGATTGGGCATTGACATACCCATTAGGTTTGGCTGTGTTCCATGGGGACCCAGGGACCCTGTGTCCAGTTAGGACAAATCACCACCAGATGGGGATGTGATTCACCTTGGTACCAGCAGAAAGGCTGCTCAGTTTTCTATTGATACATTTCCCTTTGAGCTAGGCATTACTATTCCTACCTTAATATCAGGAGATGCTGAGAGGTTAGGTAATTTTTTTAAGGCCATGTGACTAACACATAGCAGTATGGCTATTTGAACTTAGTGTTCTTTTTGAATTATGTCTAGTACATTTTGGATGATATCGAATAAGTACATTTGGAATACATAGTGTGTGACACATAGTGCCAATTAATGGCAATCACTACTATTATTGTTGTTCTATCAAAACCACCATTCTTGAGGTTTGAGAATCTGCGCCACGCATGGATTGTTAAAACAATCTGTAATGAACTTATGCAAACTTACTTTTAGAACTGAACGCTTCCATGGCTATGTATCTTGTGGACCCCTACCGTTGCTCTTGACTCTGCTATGACAGCTGGTCGCAGCCCTAGGATTTGAAGCTCCTCCCTCAAGTCCTAAGTCACCCCTCTTTTCCTCGTGGTGACTGGGTTTTGCTGCCGGCAGTACAGCTGCTCAGTGGCTCTGTTTCTCAGGTTGATGTTGATCTGCGTGCTTCACGGTTCTGTTGCTTACTACTGCAGGGGCTGTGAAACTGAAGTGTTTGGGGTGTTTTGGTTATTATTTTGTTTTGTTTTTTGAAACAGAATCCGTCTTGCTCTGTTGCCCAAGTTGGAGTACAGTGCCCTACTCATAGCTCACCATAACCTCAAATTCCTGGGCTCAAGCCATGAAGTCTGTTTTTAATACCCAGACCAGTAAGCACAACGCTGGGTTGGGGTCCCAAAAGGTAGCTGACTCTCTCTTTGGGGTCCTTCCAATTTATTTACAGAGGAATCTGTGATTTCTTTTGCATACAGCAGTTAGGATACAGAGACAGGATGAGCCTCTTGATTTTAGCTCTGTGCCTCAGTTTCGTTCTCCTAGAACTTCAGGTTTCTGAGTCATCAGTTTCTCCGGGATTCTGCAAGGTGGGCTCCTCCTACATCTGTTTCCTATGCCAGAATTGTGTTGTCAGTCAGTGGCTAGTGTGCTGTTGTGCTGATCCCACTCAGCTTCTCTGAGGATATCACCTCTTTTTACCCATACAAATATTACTATTTTGTATATGTGTGCTCAAACTTCAAAATGTTTAGGAAGAAGCTCTGTCCTAGGTTTCAGCGTCTTCAGTCTACTTTTATGAATTATCACCTAACCATTTATTTATTTCCAAAAAAATATTTGTTTTTATTATCATGTGATAGCTCTTTCCATTTACCCTTCAACATTCTGAGTTTATATTGTTTTTAATCCTTTATTCTTATTTTAGTGGGCTCTTTAGTGGGAGGGAATGGGATGCATCCCAAGGTCAAGGTGGCATTTTTTAATGAAAGCAGGTTCTTTCCTAAAAATTAACTTTATTAAAGTGTAGTTGATTTACAACAAACAGCAGACATTTAAAATGAGACAATTGGATAAGTTTGACACATGTATCCATTTGTGGAACCTTCACTATAATCAAGGTACCTACTGTATCTATAAAGAAACGGAGACTAAGAGAAACTCAAAAGCTCAAATTAGAACCTAGGTATTTAAGGTTTCAAGATCCGTCTTGGAGCTATGAAGCCTGAGTTCTATCTCGGAAAATAACCACTAACTATTAATGTCTCTCATTTGTGTGGGAAAAGCACCCAATCTCTGAATCTAACTACTCATTTCTTCAGTAGGACGATATCATTGTGTCACATGATCCTAGTGTCTTTTTCAATTTTAAGTTATTTTGCTTCACATTTCTTATGCAGAGGTGGTAAATCTTTGTTCAAATACAGTTTGTGTTAACTAAATGAAACTGCATCATTCTCTGTAATTTTCACAAGGGAACTATATAATAAATTTAAAATCATGTTTTTTTTTCTTTTTTTTCCTCATAGGAAAGTTTTAAGAAGCTCGTGGAGTAATGTGAGTCAGAGTAATATAGGATCAGCAAGAAGTCCCTCAAGATACTTGATGAGACAAAAAGAATTTTGTTTTCTTCAAGTGTATTGTATAATTATTTTTCTGCTTATAATTTCATAGCCTTGGGCTCATAAGAGGCATTTTCCTCAATCTTCCATTATATAATTTTAAAGCTTACTAGTGTTGAAAGCTGTAATAATTACCTAAAGTTTATCTATATTCACTTTTGCTGGGAATTGGAGTTTTTGTTTTTGTTTTTGTTTTTGAGACAGAGTCTTACTTTGTTGTCGTTTGTAGAGTACTATGACATCATAGCTCACAGCAACTTCAAACTCTTCGACTCAAGCAATTCTTTTGCCTCAGCTTCCCAAGTAGCTGGGACTACAGGTGCTTGCCACAGTGCTTGGCTGTTTTTTTAGACATGAGGTCTTGCTCTGGCTCAGGCTGGTCTTGAACTCATGAGCTCAGGCAATCCACCTGCCTCAGCCTCCCAGAATGCCTGGATTACAGGTGTGAGCCAGCACACCTGGCCAGGAATTAAAGATTTTATATAGATACAGACACTTATAATAATCTAGATATAGGCCTATCTCCCTATCTATCTAAAGAGCTCTCTTTTCACTTCTCAGATTTTATCTTCAATGACTGAAGTGCCATAGCACAAAATGGGTAGCATACATCTAACATCTACACAGACACATCTGATTAATATTTATGTACTTGGTATATATGATGTTTTTACACAAAGTTGGAATCAAATTTGACTGTTCTCGGACCTAACAATTTATTTTCTACTTTTCTATTTCTAATTCTTCTAGAAAGAAGAAGTTCTAGATCCTTCATCAAGACCTTCATTTACACAGCCGTTAAATCCGAGGCTTACTGTGGTGGAAGCATGTATAAAAATACATCGGCTGTAGACTCATCCAGTCTTCTTGAAAAGTAATTTTTAAATGAGACTTAAGGTTTTGAGATATGTAGATTATTAATGAACATTTGGTTGAAGTCTGTTTTACAGTTAGTTGTCTATATGGTCTAGGATGGCAGTAATGAGCAAAGTATGCATTAAATTACCGTTCAACATAGATCAGTGTACAGGCCAAAATCTACATTCTCTATGAAATCGTTTGTAGGGATTGCTTTTTGAAAAAATTTGATTTTTGGATATCTAAAATATTTTATAATTCTAGTATGGTTACATAACGTAAGATTAGCTCTTGCTGACTAACAAACCACCCCAAAGTGCCTATTGTTTCTGAGGGTTCGCTGAGCAGTCCTAGTTTTCACCAGGCGGTGGAAGATGGCTTCGTTCACATGGTATGAGGTCTCCCCTGGGAAGGCTGCCTGGCTGAGGTTTCTCTGGACCTGGGTTGTCATCGTTCAGGACACTGACTCAGGCTTTGTCATGGGATTGCAGAGTATCCCCAGCAACAAGCACAAGTGTTTTTCAAATTTCAAACTTTACATTTACTGGTATCCCATTAGCCACAGCAATTCAAGTAGTCAAGTCCAAATTCAAGCAGTACAGACGAAGACTATTTCTAATAGGAATTGCTGGCCATTTTGTAAATATAACATTTAACGAGGTGTATTCAGAGAAATCTTATTCTTATTCTGCACTTGTACCCTTATTACTCCTTTAGAAAATAATTCTTATTTTTGATTCTTTTTTAGTCCTTCTTTTGCATAAACAAATGCATGCACACACACACACATAATTACATATATTTGGATTCAACTCCCCAGAATATTCTGAAGTAATAGGTCTCAAATTAATATAATGTTTCAGCCTTGCCTTTTGTCTTAACTTAAAATTAAGTTCATATCTGTTTATAAAGATGTTCCCGCATATCTGTTTATGAAGATGTTCCTTGTTATAACTGCACAAATGTACCATAGTTTATTTAGCCAGTACCTTATTGATGGCCATTTGGAATGTTTGAAATTTTTGATGAATCCAAATTGTGCCCAAATGAATAACCTACTATATAAGTCATTTTGTATTTTTTGCCAAGAATATCTTTGGGATAGATGCCTAGAAATGGAATTGCGAGATCAAAAAGTAGTTTTTTGTTAGAGATTTCCAAATTCTTTCTTCAGAAGTTCTTACCGTGTCGCATTCCTACCAGCAATGCACGAAAGTGCCTCTTTCCCGTAACTTTGTCATTAGAATATATTGTTAAGGATTTACATTTTTATTGATCTGATAGGTGAGTAGTAGTATCTCTACATAGTTTCAATTTCTAATTCTCTTCTTATGATTAAAGTTGAGTAGCAGAACTATTTTTAATGTCAAAAGAAAAAAGTAAGTTCTTAACAACAGGGAAATTTTAAAGTAAGATCTTAGCCATGTGTATAAGTTTGATGCTGCCATTGAAAATTTATGTTTAAGGAAAACTTTTACTACTGTGCTTATAATAATTCTATGTTAAAAAGAATCTTAAAATGTTTATATAGCATAATAACTATTCAGAAAAAAACAACATAGTTAGATTCATAGAGAAAAAAGATTAGAAGTAAATACACTACTGTGTTAATAAAAGATACTTTGTTGAGATTAGAAGAGGATTCCTGTATGGAAACAACCATTTATGTTGGAGATTATATATGCTCCCGTTAAGGGAAATTCACGTTAGAGAGTTTGAGAGGTTGCTGAAGAGATTTGCCAATGAGGCGCCTTAGTTCCCTTTTTCTGCTTCATTTTTCCTATTCTTAGGCTCCATTCCTTTAGTCTTTGGGGTTAAAAACACTCCAACCCATTGTGCTGAAATTCATGTCAGTAGGACAGTTTGGAGCAGTCTTCTGCCATTTTTTTCTAGCTAATAGACTGTTGCCCTGGTGACCAGGTAGGCTTTCCAACACAACAGCTGAATTCAACAGACTCGTAATGCAACTCTAAATGACATACAGTATAAACAGGGAAATATTCAAAAATGGGGAGTTTTATAAGTTTTTAAAATTTCTTTCATTATTCTATCTTTCATTAAACTTTTGAATGCAACAGTTCTTCTTAAAGATATGTTTAGAATGTGCATATGACAAAGCAAGAAAGCTTTCTAAAATCTATAAATCATACATAAGATAAGAAGTTACTCTTTTTTAAATAGTAGTTTGAACTATTTGATATGTTTGAAGGTAGCTGGAAGTCCTGTACTCAACAGTGGCTTGAATATACCAACAGAGACTCTCTCAGATCACATTTTGCCTGAGTCATTTTGTATTTGCCTGGCCATTTTGTAAACATAACATACATGGGCTCACACTTGAGCCACCAAATTAACCTACCTGAACTTTGGAGCTTTTAGAAAAACATGGCTAAGAATCTTTTTTTTTTTTTGAGACGGAACCTCAAGCTATCACCCTGGGTAGAGGGCTCTGGCATCATGACTCACAGCAACCTCCAACTCCTGGGCTCAAGTGATTCTCCTGCCTCTGCCTCCCAAGTAGCTGGGACTACAGTCGCCCGCCACAATGCCAGGCTATTTTTTGGTTGCAGCTGTCATTGTTGTTTGGCAGTCCGGGCTGCATTCCAACCCGCCAGCTCAGGTGTATGTGGCTGGTGCCTTAGCCACCTGAGCCACAGGCACCGAGCCGTGGATAAGAATCTTAAGGATTTTACAAACATTAAATTAAATGCTGTAATGTGTATATATTGCTCAGTACAGTACTCAGTATATAATAAGTAAGAAGGCAGATCTAAAATTTATTTCATACCTAATTCAAGTTTTGTTTTGACCCTAAAAGTTTCTGCTCTGACCAGCGTGTTCAGAAATGCAACTTGGGAAACATAATTCTTTTTTCTTGTGGAATTTGAATTGCTTTAAAAAATACAGACATGTCTTTTAAAGTCACTTAATTCATTAAAATATTTAGTTTTGGAATCCTTCAGTGTCTTCTAATAATCAGCCAAAAGAAAATCTCTTCAGTATTTTAGGTTTCTAGATCCAAAAATTTGGTTTAATAAGAGTTTAAATTAAAAAAAAGAAAATTAAGTACACATGTCTATGTCTAGGCTACTAACCTGTGTGTGCTAATTTACTTTATCTTAGAGATCCTTCCTTTCAGATGATTACAGTTACCAAGGAAACAGGTCTGGGTCTCAAGATCCTAGGAGGAATTAACCGGAATGAAGGTCCCTTGGTATTTATTCAGGAAGTCATTCCTGGAGGAGACTGTTACAAGGTAAAAAATGAAAATATAAATAACCTCCCACCACCCAGAAACAAAAACAAAATGCCCCACTACCCCCTTGACAAGGTTTATCTTCCTACTTTACTAGTAAATTTACAGTGTTAGCTAAATGTCCACTGTGACCATACCTCAGTGAAAAAGACAAGAGGACTGGAAGATAGACTTTTAACCTAACAGCTGAATAAGTTCTTCATATATGAAGATGACAAATACTAAACCCTCTAACTAAAGGTTATTTATTTTTAAATTCTATGCTGTTCAACTTCTATCTGATTGAAAGAAATTATATTTGAAGACATGCTATCTGTGTACTTGTCTGAGTTTTCCTTAGTTGGATCAATTGAACTTGAACTAAATTCATTTAGTATCTCTTAAATGCAAACCCAAACAAACAAAAACAGTGAAGTCTACTTAGTTCTGAATTTGTAGTAATAATTCTTGTTGAGTTTGTTAATTATATCGCACCCATTAGCTGCCCACATGACAAACTAGAATTAAGATCCATATGAGAAATTAAATACAGAATTTAGATCAGAACATGTCTTTTTGTAAGGAATTGGAAAGTCTTACTCTCTTCCTCAGTGTAAGAAGTTAGATAATGAGATCCTTTTTGCTCTGGTTGCTCGGAAGTTCAGACCTAAACTTTAAGCATAACCCCAGCAATTTAATGAATGGTTAACTCTGTTTGCATTCTCTTTTCTCTGGGATTGCATTTGCTATTTCTTTTTTAATAATGTAATTATATCTTACTTCTTGAGGATTGCCTTCAGTCCTTTTTGGAGAGATACAGGATGCAAAGAATTTAATAAAATATTCTATTAATATCAATCTATTGATTTCGAGAAAGGGTCCTTTTACTGTTAAGTTTATTCTTAAGTCATTTTGGTTAAACAAAGAGCCCTATTCTTACCTCCCCCTGCAAACACTTGTTTAGTAAGTAGTTTATTCATTTATTTGCCAGTAACTTTCAAAAAGTTAATTTCAAAATAACTATAGTTATTAACTAATAGTTAACAATTTCAGTTGATTCAGGCTTGATCAGATAATAAGGCATCTTCTAAATATACCTTCCAAGTTCTAAGTATTATATAATAATTTTAAGATATTCTGAGGATATAATTTTTGGCTAGTAAGTGTAAATTATTAAACAAATAAGAATATATTTAAGTGCTGAATTTAAATAAATTCAAACAAAAGTGAATTTTGTCTTCTAAGAATTGAGATGTTTAGTAGTACATTAGTTTTTAAGCTGAGGGTGTGTGTGTGTGTGTGTGTGTGTGTGTGTGTGTTCAGTAGAGCTAAGGTAGTTCTTAGACTGCACTTGATATAATGCAATAATAGGTTAAGGTACCTAATGAGTGATAAGAATTTGCTTTTAGATAAGCATCAGTTTGTGTTTCCTTATCGTCATGAAAAATATCTACAGTTAGAGTAATAAATTGATGGTAGTTGTTCTTGAATTACTCTTTGTCTTCTGTTGGTGCTAATACACTAAGAAATTATACCCCGGCATATATTTTTTCTTATTGGTTTTCTTAATTTCATTGAAAAAGAGTATTAAAAAGCAAAATCTGTTAATGGATTATAGTCTCTATTCACCGCTAGAGGGCAGCACAGAGTTATTAATGTTCTTTGACTAAACTTGTCTTGTCCAATAGAAGAAAAAACAGCCAAAATAGGGGAAGGTGGAGAAGAATAAGTAATTTTCCAGGGCTTATGTTTATTTTTAAATATTTCCTCAAGCTGGAGAACTATATGCGTATTTACTTTGCAAATATAATAGATATAATTTAATTTTAAAATAATTTATTAATAGGACCTTTACTATCCCTTAATTACTATTATAGCATGTTGATAAGTTTCTAATATGCAGAAAATTTCCACGTAGTAGGTGGATTCATAAAATAGGACATACAGGGTCATAAGGTTATCCTTAATTAAGTTGCCTAGTTGAGTACTATTAATATTTTTCAAATATATTTGAGTGCTTTAACTTGCAGTAGTTTTGTATTACCATTATAATGTTCAGAATTTTGTAATCTCGAGCTTATAGCTAGATTATATTTCATTTATATTTCCAAACCTCTCAAACAGTAATGCAATACTGAATGCAATACTGGTTCAGTAGAACCAGAATATCTTGTTTCTTTGAAAAACATATCCAGAGTTCAAACTTGGGATATCTTAAGCACATTTCTTTTCTGTTCAAGTAGGAAAGAAGATTTTTCCCAACTCTAAGAGCTAGGGGAAGCCTATAAGTTGAAAAAAACTATGTAGTAGGTACTGAGTTAAAGAGAACTCCAAGGCTCTTTTCACCATGTGAGCTAGTCCCGTATCAGTCTGGAGTCCTTAGTGTTCAATACTAGACCTTTTCCTGGCCTGGATACTCCTTTGAGCTTCATACCCACATATTCAATTCAAGTCCCTGATCAACACTTCCACCAGATCTCTTAAACATATCTCAAACTCAACATTTAACAAGGCAGAACCCATGACATGCACATCATACCCTCATCTGCTTGTCTCTTCTTAAACGGGGCTTCTTACAGTATCCCCAATCTTGGTGAATGACCACTTCCCGCTACACAAAGTTAAAAAACCCTACAGCTTCCTAACTACTTTGTCTCCCACAACAACAATATTCAATTCATTAACATGAACTATTGGCTTTTATACTAATACTTCTTGAACCCATCTGTCTTCTTGATCTCCATTCTCATGGCCATACTTTAAATCATCGTTAGTTTTTATTAGCCCTTCAAACACCTTTGTCTGCTCTTACATACCATGTCTGTTTCCATCCAACCTGTCTTGCTAACACTTGGTTGCCTGCAAGGTCCTACAAAGTGTGGCTTCTGCCTTTTACCTCTCTGGCTTTCCATCTCCATGCTTCCAGAAGGGATTTTCCCACTCATGGAAGGGACCATTTTCTTTCCCATTTTATATGCTGTTCCCTTCACTAGGAACAACACCCCATCCCATTCCCTCCTAACTTCTAAATAGCAGTTCAAAGAGCACTTCCTAAGAGATGTGCTCCTTGTTCTCTCCCAGTCTTGGCTAAGTTTTATTCTTCCTGTCCGTGCTCCTGGATCCAGTCCCTCTCCTTCATATCACCTATCTCAGTTTGTAATGAGATATTTATATTTCTGATTGTTTTATCAGCTCCACCTCTAGCACAAGGCAGTCTGTTTCTTAAGGGCAAGGATTCTATATGATTGGATTCACAGTGATATCTTTAGTCCCTGGTGTGGTGCCTGACACATGCTAATTGCTCAATTCATATTTGGGAATGAACAGTCCCTTAGATCTGCTGTCCCGTTTCTGAGGGTTAGTGATCTGCTGTCCACCAGTCCACTGCTGCCAGCTGAGCTGCACACCGCGCTCCCTCTCCCTCTTCCTCTTGGCCCTTTGGAGCAGATTCTGGATGACAGTTTGAAGTGCTCCAATGTTTTCATTTCTTTCTTTCTTCTTTGCTAATAAAATAGGGAAAACAGGCAGAAATCAAAAGCTTCTCCGCAAACCCGATACTATATTTCATATTTTCCTTAGTTGATTCTAAGACACATACGTATATTTATACATATACATATGTAACACATACATAGGGATGTAACATCCTTCTGAGTGTCTGTATGTACATTGTTTTCCTCTCATATGTCTCAAATTATGATGGGGTTAAAAATTAATGTCATAATTGGCAACATTTTTTTCTCTTAGTGCTTCATAAAGTAGCGTCTATTACAAAAGTAGCAGTTTAGATTTGATGAGTTTGGGATTTTGGGGGTCAGTCCTGGTAGGGAGAGACAGTGATCACCCAGGTACAGGTATAGTCATTGCCAACAAAGAATTGCAGTAGGGCATATGGAGACCAGTTTTCAGTATGTGATGAGCACACCCCTGGAATGGGAACCAGGGCTTCTAGGGACATAGCAGGATTAAGCCTCTGGCAACGTGTGAAGAAACCAGTCCCCTTGGTGGGAGCTGAGGGAACAGCAGCCACCATGATTTGCTTTGGCCACCTTAACTTTCTCAGACCGTTTCCTGGACCTCGCGAAGTTACCGTGGACTTGTTGTGTACCTAGCACCCTGCCAGGAAAACTACCCTGAAAAGGACATGGTTCTGGCCCCCTGAAAGAAGCCGTGCTCCTGGTTTGGGATTTGCTGCATTAATATGCTGTAGTGCAGGGGCAGGGAGGGGACGATGTAAACAAATACAGATAGGACAAAGTAAATGTCATCACACATGTAAGGAAAAGGGGTTTGGGGTAAAGAGACGGGAACAATTAAGTAAATCCTGGAGAGTCGGAGAAAACTTGCATCGGAGCTGGTGTTTAAACGTGGCTGTGAAGTTTGAAAATCAGAGTTCATCACAGAGAAGTGGGAAGGTGGCTGGTAGCCTTCTAGAAAGGAATGGATGTGTGTGTCAAAGCACTGACCTTGGAAAGATCCTGTATTGGCTGATTTGAGGAGCATTCATCTGAGAATAGAATGAAGAATTTCTATGCTGGGGTGAAAGGTGGATGATCAGGTTACAAAATGTAGTTTGCAGAGAGTTTGTTGTGCCGGGTTTGGAAAGTTAAGGAGTTTCAGCTTTTTCCTATCAGTGGGCAGTCCTGGAAGCAACATCAAATTACGATACTCTCAACTTGAAGAATAACAATTACATTTGCTCTCATTGTGAAAACTGTCTACAACTGATAGGGAAGTCCGATTCACCTCATCTCACTTAATGCCTACAGTGTGCTGTAATTAATGTATGTTATTTGATTCTTATAGCAACCTCGTATGGTAGATACATCTCTTCACTTTATAGCTGGAAATAAAGGGAGTTTCACAGAGGTTAAATAGCTTACTTAAGTTCACAATAATAACTGCCATTACAAAAGCATGTCTTCAATCTACAGCCTGTACAAGCATGAGAAAAGAATCTGAATGCTTGCAGAAGGAGCGTTCCTTAGTATAGGAATAACGAATCGTCAAGTTAGAATCATCCTTCAGAAGATGGTTTCTGGAATATGGTAATACGTTATTTAGAAAACTGTATACCAAAGTCACAATCAGAAGTGAACAGTGCTGGTAGTTTTTAACAGAAGCATTTAAGTGGACAGGGGTACAGTATCATTCCAACATCTGCATGAATGTCAGTGTGGAGGAATCCAGACTCTGAAGTTCAGCATGAGAAAGCGCTTGGCGCACTGCCTGCCACATCACGCAGTTGCTCAGTCACTGCTGAATCGGGATCTAGATTGTGTGGAAGAGGTCTCGGTAGCTCCCTGAAGTTAGTCTCCTCGCATATACATCAATCCAGCTGGGGCAGAATTCACTCCCTTAGGATGCCAGACTTTGACAGAAATAGCTTTGTTTTCATTTGCAGTTTCTGACTTTTAAACAGGTTCAGAAATTTACATGATCAGCTAAGATCTTATTCTAGGAGGCACAGAAAGAAAAAAAAAACAAAACAAAACAACTAACTGCTGTGAATACTTTCTAAAAAGAAAAATATATATATACACACCAGAAGTCAGTCAGGAGGCATCCTTCTCTTCTCTGACTCTCCTGCTGGAAAATGCTACTTTAACAGGCTGGTATACGTTAATACAAGACAGGTTAAATTGCCTTCCTGCCAGCTTTTCCTCCGTCTCGTTGACACTCGGCAGCCTGAGAGGAGAATGTGGAGGCCGTAGGTCAACCTGAACTCCATTGCCTACCTCTCTTTTCTTGTACCCCTTTTTTCCCACAATCCTGACTGATTTCTGTAAGACAGATGAATCCTGGAGCTACCTCCACATAATTTAGAATTTAGTTCTGAGATCCTTGTGAGCAAGACCGTGTACCTCCCCCACCCCCTGCTCTCATTCTCATTATCTGTAAAGATCTAGATAGAAGGCGTCCAGGTCAGATCCAAATTCAAGGCTATCTGGCTGCCAGACCCCGTGCTCTTTTCTCTTCAGTCCGTTGCCTCTGAAGCCTTCTGCGCGAATGAAAAACAGCTGCCATCTGACTTTTAGTCTTCGTTATAGAATTTTCTCTTTTCAGGGAAATTTAATAAAAGGAAGGCACTGTTAGTGCCGAGAAAATTTATATTAAAACATAATAACCTGATATTTACTGTCGACCAAGAGAATTCTAAAAGAAACTTGCTTCCTTATCCATATTCTTTATTTAAGTGCTTCGCTGGAATGACGTAGGGCTTTATTTCCCCCTTTCCCGCCACTAAATTTTCGTAAGGCTTTGAGCTACAAGTCGATGATAGGATCGTCATTAAATTTTGGTTAAAATCTATTGCATTAAGCTAAACTTAATAAGGAATTACTTTCCGGATTCCCAATGGTTGGCTTAGGGCCTAACAATGACATTTATTTATTTTAAAAATTAGATTAAAAAATTCTCTATTTATATTTAACCCCTGCTTCCAATAGCAGTTCCGAAATATAGAACCAAAATGTAATTCAGCTAGTTAGGTACATTGATAGGGAAAACTGCATGAACTTTCTTTTTATTTGAGATGGAGTCCTCAGATAAAGATGGAATTCTCCATTTGAGATGGAGAATTTTTTTTTTTATAATGTTATGTCTGACACAGACAAAAGGATTTTGGAACATGTATCTAACTTACGAACCATGGTAAACACCTGTGATGAATCCATTCAGAGTACAATAAGAAACTCAAAATCTGCTTCCTATTGAGGATCCTTATTTGCTTTTCCCTGATCACCTTACCCCCATCCCTGGCCTCCTCCAGAAATAAGCCGTCTACAGAATATTGTGCATGTTCTTCCCTCGCTTTTCTTAGCCTCATCCTGTTTCCTGTGGCAATGAGGTTGTTTTCCTTGTTGGTTACCATCTCACCTTAACCTTGACTGAATGTCCTCAAACTGAAATTTATCATAACAAGTTACAAGCTAAGGTATGAAGTATGTGGGTATAATCTGGGCGTAATTGATCTAAGTGCGTAGGTAATGAAACTAATAAAATTAGTTTCACTTAGCCCAGGCGGTATGGAACCGTATCTATAAAATCTTAACAAACTAGCCCTTTTGTTTTAGCAAACTTGTAGGATCGTATGGTAGGTAGATAGTTTCTCAGCAAACATAGTCTTTTCTAGCATTCCGAGTGTGTATTTCTCTCTGTGTATTTATCAAATATTAGAAAGAACATCACTTATGAGTATAACTATTGTAGCAGGACTTGGCTAACACCATATGCACAGCCAGACAGGCTTTCCTGACGGGAAGAACAGCAGGTCTAGAGAAAAAGGTGTTAACCGTGAGCTGAGAGCTGAGTAGAATCAATATAAGTAAGATCCATAGGAAATATAATTAAAATCTTTGACTACATTTAAAAAAATCTAAATGTCCAGTAAATCCACATTGGGCGGTTTGGTGGGAAGAAAGAGTCCGGAATGCTCAGAAACTAAATGGCTGAGTACTGTATTCCAGAACATCCCACGATGATTCAGCCTACTTTGTCAAATCCGTAGCACTAAGTTTTTAGAACAAGTCTCTTTTCCCCGCATATGTTCTGAATTGTCCTAACATATTGGGATTTTCTAGCACGCATAGCAATTCATGCAACACATGAACTATTCAGTTAGACTCAGGTATATTGTCACCAAACCAGGCTCTAATTAAAATATTTTGCTATTGAGTCTCAATCAGATTTTACTTTTTGCTCTCTTTAAGATATTCTTCATAAAAACTTTTAATTGCCTTAATTGAATCAATCGATTTTTATAAAAAGTACCTCATCGGTTTCTTTATAAACGTTACCATTTCTCTTAGGATGGTCGTTTGAAGCCAGGAGATCAGCTGGTCTCAGTAAACAAGGAATCAATGATTGGGGTATCATTTGAAGAAGCAAAAAGGATTATTGAGAAAGCCAAATTGAGGTAACTATTCTATCTGTAAGACAGAATGAGTCATTTAGCATGTCTCCTTAAAAATAGTAATTTGAGATGTCTTAAGTACTTTTAGACTTTAGACATTTTTTTTTTAATATTGTAAATGTTACCTTAGAATTCAGTTGTACTGTATTCAGACTCCACTTACTTCTTTGTATTCATAGCAAATCTGTAAATGATTTCTTTTTAATACTAGGTCAGAATCTACTTGGGAGATAGCATTCATAAGACAAAAATCTGATATCCACCATCCAGAAAAGCTATCGTGTGCATCTTTCGAAGCTTCAGAAGAATATGGACCTCAAGCCTCAACATTTAGTCTTCTTCCTTCTCCCCCTGAAATACTAATTCCAAAGACCTCATCCACTCCCAAAATTAATGACGCCATTTTACCTTCTTATGAGATAAGTCAGGTAATCTTAAATTTCTCTGTTTATAGACGCAGTCCATAGAGCCCCTTTATCTTCTAGGTTGCTGAAATACGTATAGAATTGTAATTTCAGTAATATTGTTTTTTTTTTACAAATGAGTGATATTTCCTTAAAAGATTCTTCTCCTTTTTTCTTGCTGTAGATTTTTATTCTGTGTTATCAGAAAACATCATTTTCAAAGTCAGTATGTCTTGTGTCCATTTAGAAATATCAGCATGACAAAATGGTACCATAAAAATATGCCTAGCTGTCACTCAGACCTTAAGATTGTCACATTTAGTTTCGGTTTTTAATACGGAGCAGTAATTATTTTTGTTTTCCACTGAAGCCAGACAATCTCCCTTTTGGTTAGTTCGCTCCTTTCCTACGGGGCAGTGAGGCTCATCCTAACCACCGCCCAAGGTGGACACGCCTTCCTCACATGTGTGGGCTGGAACATGGTTCACCCTATTGGAATCATACAAAATGGGGAATTTCTATATCAAAATTAACATAACAAATTACTAGCAGCTACAGTGTCTTAACAAATCACAATTAAGGATCGAGAATATATTCGTCAAATCTATATTAGCTATAAAATAAAATAGGAAGCTTTCACCCAGCAGATTAAAATCCATCAAAGGTAACTTCAGTTTTAGGTCCATGCTGCTCAGGGGCGGAGGATAAGATTTTCTGTCTGCTCCTTCAACCTTGTCATTTGGAACTATAATAGCTTTTAAAAGACAAGGTACATGGCCTTGTATTTTATTATACTTGGACATTGTTATCTTTAATTCTGAATTGCTTTTTTAGAAGACGATTATACCAAAATTGTAGAGGGTTCATACTTTTTGGAATATCGCCTAATCTCTTTTACCATTCCTTTTCTGTTAACATGAGCTCTCAGTCTGGTCTTTGACCTACTTTAGTAAATGACATTGTAGGTTCTTCATTTTCTTTTACAGACAAAAATTGGATGCAGCAAAACAGAACAGACTCCAATTACTTCTTCAGACAACAGCCCTCCAGATATGGCTGATACAGGTAAATGCGCATTTAATTCCTTTTTCCTGTTATTTTTTTCAATTACTCTCTCAATGAGGAGTACATAATATAACTTAATAGACTTTAAAGAAGGGGTGCATTATGACTTTTCTCCTTCAATGAATAAAAGAGCAAAATTAATGTATTGTCCCGTGGAACCCTGTTAGATTATGACTTTTATTGGAAATTTCACTGAACAAAGAGTGGACATTTTAAAAGACACATTATCATAGCAGTGTTTATGAAGCTCTAAAAACTAATAAATTTTTGAAGTCAAAAAATGAAAAGTCTTCTTTTAGTGAAATACTGATGAGGTATGGCAAATGCACCTCGAGAAAACAAATTATAGAAGGGAGCATAGCTTAAGAAAAGAAATACGTTTTTGTTTTTTAGAAGAAAGCATGTGAATATAAATTAGAAAGGTCATCAGTCTTGTGAATTCATTATTATTGATTCAGAATGACTGAGTTAGTAGCGATCTTTAGCCATAAGTTATATGCCTTTTTACTTAATGGGATTTATTGACACTTGCAAACTTTATGAACGTCATTCCCGTTACAGAATTAATTTCCATCTCTTGATAATCCTGTTTCCACTTTAAACTGGGAGCCCATGTGAGAAAAAAAAGACAGGTGAAGGAAGCAGTTATGAGGAGATAGGATAAAGTCAAGGTTTTTTATTCCTTGATTATACTGTGAAATGTTAATTATGATGTAACATTTATACATGCCTTGTATGTTTTTAATTTTTAAAGTAATTACACATTTGGTGCCTTTTTTAGCCATTTGTTTTTTCAGTAAACGTATACTGAATATGTTTCATGTGTAGAAAACATACTATAATAGGAGTCAGGACATTTTATATGAGACTTAATGGTATATTGTGAAATAAAACATAAGGTTAAAAATCTTCATGATTCAGGTTAGAAAACATTTAAATATATATGTGTGTGTTTATGGATGTTGTTTGTGTGTGTTTATTTTATCAAGTAGCTACTATTTGTAATGTTCTATGTTAATTAGAGCAGGATGTGGGTGGCTTTGATGCTCCTAAAAAGCATACTGTTTTGGGGATGAATAACACATTTATGCAAATATTGTGAAAACATGAACAAAGTCGACTAAGGAAAGAAGTAGTGAGGGGTGTGAGTATGTGATATAGGGAAGACACAGTGTTGTTACCACCTGGGTCTGAGTGCAAGCTTCCATGTTCAAATCCTCACTTACAGCTTTTTAGCTTTGTAACCTTGAAATAAGGTTACATGGGGTTGTTCTGAGTATATCATGCATGTCAAACAGCATTGTAATTAGTTCATAGCATAGGCTCAGTAATTTTTATTTTTTTTGAGACAGAGTCTCACTATGTTGCCCTCAGTAGAGTGCTGTGTCATCACAGCTCACAGCAACCCCAAACTCTTAGCTTAAGTGATTCTCTTGCCTCAGCCTCCCAAGTAGCTGGGACTGCAGGCGCCCCCCACAACACCTGGCTATTTTTTTGTTGCAGTTGTCGTTGTTATTTAGCTGGCCCAGGCCGGGTTCGAACCTGCCAGCCTTGGTGCATGTGGCCGGTGCTACGAGCACTGAGCCATCAGTACATTTTTTGTTACCATTGTTAGTGATAATGATATAGAACCTGTACACTAGAGCGTAGCTCAGACAGTATTCCAGAGCATGATTTTAGAGCAGACACAAAAGGTTCCGACTCTTGATTCAATTTTTTGTTCTCCTCTCCACCCCCCAAACTAGTACATCATAAGGGATCTGTCATAGTATGCAGAAATTAATTAAGAAATACGCCTTGGAAAAAGATAGACATTATCCAAATCTTGAAGGAAACGGTGAAGGCAGGAGATTGTCCCAAGTTAAGGAAGCACCACAGTCAAAAGCACAGAACTAAGAATAATCAAGATGTCAGATAACCCTAAAGAAAGGTCTACTGAGAGTAAAGAGATCTTGTGTTGATGAATTTATACCAGTGGCTCTAGGAATAGATGCTAGATTTTGTAATAGAAAAATAGTTAATAAAAATGTACTTAGGTGAGGAACTTGTATCTAAAGTAAACATTAACAGGACAATTAAGATGGAACATTTTTCTAGGGCAGAAATACTGTTGACTCATTTCTATTTTCTTCTCCATACACGTCGTGGGCAAGATATTTCTGAAGGGTGGAAGAAAAGGCAAAATCGCTTCTAAATTATCTATAGATAACTCATATATATAGTGATTTGCCTGTGATAAATACTTAATTACAGATCATTCCAAATTAGAACGTTAATAGTCATTTCTAGACTCCTTTGGTTTCCAAGGGCAACATAGTGAGACTCTGTCTCAAAAAAAAAAAGAAAGAAAGAAATATTTGGCTTGGTGCCCATAGCTCAGTGGTTAGGGGGGTGCCGGCCACTTGCACCAAGGCTGGTGGGTTCAAACCCAGCCCGGGCCTGCTAAACAGCAATGACAACAACAATAACAACAAAATAGATGGGCGTTGTGGCAGGCACATGTAGTCCCAGATACTCAAAGAATAAAAAAGAAACAAAATAGAATATAGACTTCCTTCAGGTACTTGGTATTTATTCCAAAAAATATAAACTCAGCAAAAATAAACTTAATAAGGGATAGCTCTACCTCTGTTCTTTTTTTAAAAAAAATAGTCTTGTCGGCTCGGCGCCTGTGGCTCAAGCGGCTAAGGCGCCAACCACGTACACCTAAGGTGGCGGGTTCGAATCC